TATATCAGCTGCTGTTTATTTGAGTTTAGGAAATGTGGCAAAACTGGTGTTTTTCTGATGTTTTTGTCTTTAAAAAACTACAAAGCTTTAAAATGAGCTCCTTTAATTGAATCCCTTTGCATAAGACAACCATCTAACAGAGTAGCCAACAGTGGCCAAAGAAAAGTATGAATACTCAGATCATATACTGACTTCAGTGTAACTAAAGTATGTTCCCAAAAAAAAAACATGAGTAGAAATACAAAAGTACTGGGTCACAAAAAAAAACACTTAAGTACTGAGGATCTATAAAAACCGCAGTTGAATGAAATCCAGCAGCTATCGGCACAGGAACTGAAGCTTGTTACATTCTGTTTTTTCTCTTTTTGGGATATTTCTGGTCTAAAATAAATTGCTGAAGCTCCACAGTCCAACATATGACTAATCTCAAAGCAGTACAGATGTCTTCACCAACAAAACATAATGAAATTAAACTCAAAAAAGGGAAATAATAATTAAATATGAATGGCTAAAATGTAACCGAGTAAAAAGTAGATTTTTTTACTCATTAATATACTTGAATAGAAGTAAAAGTATTGTGATTTGAAAGTATTCAGGAGAGTACAAGTACATCAAGAATTGACTAAAGTACATATACTTAAGTAAATGTAACAAGTTACAATAGTTTCTAGTTACTATTTTATAGTTGTAGTTCGGTTCTTTTGATCCGGATCAAAGCAGGAAATGGTACCTTGTTGCATTTTAGTTCTGGTTCGCTTAGCGTTCACACTGACATGTTTAACACTGAACTACGATATGTAATATAATACAATAATGTGGGCAGATTTTGTGATGTGTAGTAACTGATAATGTCCACCGAACTTTCTGAATCATGCTGTTCTCTGTTCTATCTGGGCTCATCTTGATTTGTGATATTAGACTAATAATCCAGGAGGCTCTCTGTGTTACAGTGGTTTTGCATGGCGCAAAGCAAGATGAAATCCCTGTAACAGCCTTGAGTGGCTTACTGCTTTTACAAAGCGAAGAAACTTAGGTGACTTAATACGTAATATGTGTTTATTGAGTGCTTTATAATAACCTCAGATGTGCCTCTGCTTTAAAAATCAGAACTGTCTGTTCTCTAATTACCAATTCAGAGCTCAGTTGACATGCATGTGTCCAAACAGCATCAGAAACTTGTCTGTTTCATGAACCAAAGACGTTCTGCAGAGAGGAGACGACGGTTATTCTGTCTTTGGTCCGTTTAAACGTCTTTGGTCTGTATTGCATTCATATTTCAAACGAATCGCACCAGAGTTTGTTCTGAATTGAAGAGAGACCGACCTGCTCAAGGGGTCTCGGCCTGCCCATTTGGTGCGAATCAGAGATCGGATGGCAGCAGGTAAAAAACAGGTTTGTTTTAATCAAATCAAACCTGCCAAGTCTCAATGCAGCCTAAAACTACTGTAGTCTATCGAAGTTGACCATATAAAATTAGCAGCCGCTTTTATCGGTTATTGGAAGTTGTAGCCTCTTAAAATCTGTATCGGTTACAAAGCGCATATCTGTTGGCCCTAATACATGTATTCACTCCACATTCCTTTAAGGGAGGTTGGTAAATTCCAACTCAAACAGCTGTTCAATGGCATTTTTCTGTTTTTTTTGTACATATAATAACTTCCTCTGTCCATGCACATGCATAAGCCTGTGTTTATAGGTGTATCGTTGTGTAAATGCAGATATTTGTATGTAATTGCATGTATGTTTGTGTACGCATGCGCTGCAGGCCTGCATTTATGCCGCTTGTTGTTGCATATATGCAGGCGTTTTGCCCCTGTGTGTGCATGTGGGTCTGTCCTGTGACCCCCTGAAAGCGGCGGCTGACTCTTGGCCCTGTAACACAAGCGTATCAGAGACCACCCTCTGGCCTGCTAATCCGTTTAGATGGGGCCGATAGAGGCGCACAAAAGCGCGGTAATTAATAGGGCTATAGAGCTTTATGCATGGAGGACCGGATGGAGGGAGGAAGGGGGGCTTTTTGTTCCCTCGCTCGCTCTCTTCCTCCTTTTTTCCTCCACCTCTGAGGCCGAGTGCAATAACAGGAGCTCAAGGTCAAGGGAAGGGGGAGGTGTGCGTGTGTGTGTGTGTGTGTGTGTGTGTAGGCTGTCCCACAGGCCAATTTGCATGAGAGATGAGCAAAAAAGAGAGAGAGAGGGAGAGACAGCAGCAGAGACGAGATAAGAACAGATAGCTGGCTAAGAACGAGAAAACAGACGGGTGTTAGGCAAAGGTGGGCTGAGAAAGTAAGGGAGAGGTAGAGAACTAGAAAGGAAGAGAAGGAGCGAGCGATGGATGTAGAGAAAGAAAGAGGGAAGAGAAGAATGTGAATGATACATTAAGAAGTAATGAGAAGGATACAGAGAGTAAAGCCCACTGCAGATGACTTGAGAAGAAATGACTGTAGATAGACAGTTTACAGTATATTATTTAACTTCAGGTAATTAATTAGAGCCATAGTGCAATCACATTCTGAAATGTTTTGATCCAAAACTTTTTGACATTTTTAAGCACCAAATCTGCCACTAGTTTTAAATTTTTTAATAACTTTTAAACAATTTTTACTTCTGTAACAAAATTTGACTGGGCTGCAAGCCAGGGCACATTTCACCACAGTTGCAGAGTTCGACTGGGCCAGAAACTGGGACAAATTTCATCACTTCAAAGTTAGAGTGGACCAGAAAATGGGACACATTTCGCAACAGTTCTGGAGTTTGACTGGGCCAGAAGCTGAGACACTTTTCACAACAGTTCCAGAGTTTGCCTAGACAAGAAGCCGGCACACTTTTCACCACAGTTTCAGAATTTGACTGGGCCAGAAGCCGGGACACGGCTTTTGTTTGCTGTTAATTTGTATTGTTGTTTGAACGTTAAACCTGGGTTTGAGAAAGGTGCTACATAAATAAACCTTTTTATTAGTTATTATAACATTTGAATCTACAATGTTGTTATTGAATTAAATGATTAATATAAAGAGCATTTCCCTCCATTTGACCTGTACTATATAGGCCTACCATTCCTGCCTTATGAGAGGCTGTAGAGAACAGAGAGAGGGACAGATGAGTAGAAGAATATGAGGCAGTCTGAGGGGTCTAAAAGGGGTGATGGAGAGGGAGAGAAAGAAAAGGTTTGGGGGGAAGGTTATGGCCTTTGTGATGGTGATGGAGGTGCAGTCTCCAGGCCCAAGCTGATAATGACCAACACCTCTAATAACATACAGCCCTCTACCCATTTACTGCTGAGAACAGAGTGAGAGAGACAGTACAAGACAGAGACATAGAGTAAAAGAGAGAGTAAAAGACAGAGAGACAGTGTAAAAGACTCAGAGAGAGAGAGACATAGAGAAAAAGGCAGAGAGAGAGTCCTGTGTTTATAATATGACATGGTGGAATCACGTGTTTCTTACTGAAAGAGTGTGTGTGTGTGTGTGTGTGTGTGTGTGTGTGTGTGTGTGTGTGTGTGCGCCTGTCTGTGTGTGTGTAAACCCCTTGAGGAGACATTAAAAGAGAATATGTGCATAGTTTCTTTCACACACACACACACACAAACACACGCATACATGCTGCACACACACACCAGTCGGCTTACTCTCTCTTTATCAGAGCGTATTTACGGAGGGCGATGGAGCGTGAAACGCCTTTGGGCTCTCCGGGACCAGATGGGGACACACACACACACACACACACACACACACACACACACACACACGCACTGAGCAAGTTTCTCCAAAGGCGGTGTGTTATCAGTAGCGTATTACTGAGCTTCATTGATAGGCTCAGTAATCACTCCCTCCAATCTGCTTAATGGAAAGAAGAAATGGAATGTCTATGAGAAAAGGGAGGAGAGGGGGATGAAAGAAACTAGAGAGAGAGTGAGGGAGAGGGCAGGTTATAACTAAGCTCTCTTATTCAGTATGTGCTGGAGAAGTGAATAAAGGAAGTGTTTGTGGGTAATAGAATGAGGGCAGGGTGAAGCTGCAGCTAAACACAAAGACGAGCACCTGAGATGAACACGGTGTTGGTGGGTGATAGAAAGGGGGCTAAAGGTGCAGCTAACGTCATTCTGTAGTCAGCCTCATTCCCGTATTAGGAACTCCGGGTCTAAACTGTTTTTCTCTATCAGAAAAATGAATGGCGTTTTCGCGAATCACTGCCAACCAATGTGTTTTGTCATACCAGCATCATATATATATATATATGTATTGGACATGCTCAATTGCCCCTAGGTGTGAGTGTGTGTGAATGTGTATGTCTGTCTGTCAGCCCTGCGATGGACTGGCGACCTGTCCAGGGTGTATCCTGCCTTCCGCCGAATGACAGCTGGGATAGGCTCCAGCACCCCACCGCGACCCAGAAGGATAAGCGGTTTAGATGATATGTGTGTGTGTGTGTGTGTATATATATGTATATATATATATATATATATATATATATATATTATATATATATATATATATATATATATATGTATATATATCGTTTTTTGCCTAAGGCAGAAAATGGCATATTTAAGTTTGTTCTGTAGACGATGACCAAACTTTTCTAGCTGTTTATCCACTTAGTGAGTCCCACCCACAGCACATTCTTTTTAAACCATGCACAATACAGCCAGTCAGAACAGAGAAAACATACATATATCAGTCTTAAAGGCAGAGTAACCATAACAGCCTTTAATTCTGAAGGATTAGGAGAGGTTGAAAAACAGTCATGTATAATTGAACTTGTTTGTTTTGTACATAAACCCACACAAACGTCACAAGTGGACCTCAGAGGAAGGAAAACAAAATACAAGAAAAGTGTGAATATGGGCCCTTTTGGGGTATAAAATGAAACGATATGGTAAAAGTTATGGAGGAAGTAAAGGACTTGTGGCTAAAGGCACATTGGATGTATTTAATGTCATGGTCTTTTGATTTGGTTCATATCTACAAAAGTAAACTGTTAACATCCCTTTTTTTCTTACAGACAGTGGCAGGTCCCCCAGTAAAAGCTCCTTATCCAAAAGCCAAGACCACTGGATTCTGCTACAACTGCTCTAGACAAGGACACTTCGGCCATGTGAGTCATAGCTTGTTGCACCAGCACACTCAGCTCTTCACCATAGAAGTAAATGCTTCTGTCCAGCTTCAGGACTCTTTTAGGGGTTCTCCGTTAGGAAGAACCCCATGTAGTGTCAGAACAGTGCAAGCTGATGTTGAACTGATTCTCTCTTGGTTTTAGCTTAAATTGGAGAGAATATTACCTGTTATCTAATGTCACCTGAGGCACACAAATCTTTTCCCCTTTTGCCCAGAAATTACATAACAAATTGTTTACAGCTGCTGCTGTTGTGTACTACAGCTTTCCTTACTAGTGTTGCACAATGCATCAACAGTTCAGTGCTTTTTTCAAAACTACACGATAATAAATATTTAATACTTTTGAAACTCAGTTTTTTAAATAGGCTAAAACTATTTTGACGTATTCTTCCTGTAGGTGAATCAAATGGGCCATGGTGAATCGAATCAGATGGGTAGAAACTTATATAAATATATACTCACCTACAGAAATATATATCAACTCTTTTTGTCCATTTTATCAGCTCCACTCACCATATAGGAGCAATTTGTAGTTCTACAATTACAGACTGTAATTCTTCAGTGGTCAGGACCCCCACAGGACCACCACAGAGGAGGTACTATTTGGGTGGTGGATCATTCTCAGCACTGCAGTAACACTGACGTGGTGTTGTTGTGTTAGTGTGTGTTGTGCTGATCTGAGTGGATTTTAAACACCTCAGTGTCACTGCTGAACTGAGAATAGTCCACCAACCAAAAACATCCAGCCAACAGCGTCCTGTGGGCAGCGTCCTGTGGCCACTGATGAAGGACCAAAGGATGACCAACACAAACTGTGCAGCAGCAGATGAGCTACTGTCTCTGACTTTACATCTACAAGGCGGACTGACAAGGTAGGAGTGTCTAATAGAGTGGACAGTGAGTGGACACAGTGTTTAAAAACTCCAGCAGCACTGCTGTGTCCGATCCACTCGTACCAGCACAACACACACTAACACACCACCACGTCAGTGTTACTGCAGTGCTGAGAATGATCCACCACCCAAATAGTACCTGCTCTGTCAGAATCTGACCTGAGAACTACAGTCTGTAGGGTAAGTGGCGCTGATAAAATGAGTGTAGGTAAAAGGTTGCTGGCCGGTGTATGTGACCATTTTATGCGATGAATGTTGGGCTGAGTTGTATTTCCTCATCTCATTGTTAATCTATTGATATGGAAGTCAGAATTCAGGAGTCATGTCAGCTGTACTTTTCACTGCATCAGAATTTCATATTTGTGTGTATAGGAGTGCACGGAGAAGAGGATGTTTATGGGGACGTATCCCACGCTGCCGTTTGTCTCCTGCTATGACAACTATGGGGATTTAAGACGCCTGGAGCACAGAGTGCAGAAACAAGTACAAGGTTGGTAGAACTATTTCTGATTGGCTGCCCAGATCACATGTATAACCAATAACCAGTGGTATTCATGTGATAGTGATATGCAGTACTGTGCAATCAGGGTGAAAATACCTCTTGTAAAAGACAAGAAGTCCTCATCATCATCCAGCGTTGCAGCAGTTGTCTGTAGTGTTAGCTCATTAGGCTGTTTTTAAAAATAATAAAAAATGTTTTTGACACAAAAGTGTATTCGTCTGCGTGCTGGTCATTGTTTTTCACTCCCTGCCGTTAACCGGATAAGTTAACCTAGGCATCTAAATCTGGGCAATAATGAATATTTATGGTTGTAAAAACATTTCAGAACAGCGTCATTTTTAAGCAAACATTAATGCACTAAAAAGTAACTTTCTTGTTTTAAAAAAGTAGATAAGATATTGTAATTAGTTAAAAGAGCACAGGATTTATTTTTAATCCATCACCAGCACACTTGATTTAATCTTGATAACCGCAAATAATAGTGGGCTTTCACAAGGAGGCGTTTGGAAAATTTAAAATCACTACTTACTGTATTAAATCTCTTTGTATTTATTCTACTATTAGTGTTTTTCTGAGTGAATAAACACTTACTGTCCATTAATTACATCCCCAAGCTTTAAAACCTTTGGGAAGTTAGTATTGTCTCTCCTGATTAAATTATGGGGCCAAATCACTGAATCGTTATTTTTATCCATTTTTATAGGTAGCAGTCCGTCATACAACATCTGAACTCATATGAGCAAGTCTGTTTGAGATTTGAGATCAGTTTGAGTGGTGCTGAACTGATAAGCTACATTAGCCTCGTAGCTCCAGGTGCAAAACTGAAGAAGCAAACTTAAGACACCAAACAAGTCTTTGCTGATCAGCTACATTTGTGTCAACTGTGTAAGCTAGATTTTCTCCCAGACTACTCTACTCATGTAACCGATGTGTCTTTTTGTGCGTTTTACAGAGTTGCTGAATGCCGGTCTGTTAGAGCAGCAAGACGAAGCTGTATATACTCCCCAACCTCCTCGAAAGAAACAGAAACACAACCTCAAAAACACACTTTTCCCATTCACGCCCAGCGGACGCCCCCCGAAGAAACGCATCGCACACACCCCTAAACATAACCCCCCAGCAACACCCAAAGTCAGCGCACAGACCCCGGCGAAGAAGGCCACACCCGTTCAACAGCTAGAGGGTAAGAAGAAGAAGAAGAAAAACAACAAGAAGAAGGATGGGAGTGTAATCGACGTGGACCAGGAATTTCCCCGAGGGTTCCAGAAAAGCCCCCACGGCAGAGCAGCCTCCACTCCGCCGTGTGGAGTCAAAGGCAGCCCTGCTATGCTCTTCAGCTCAGGGAAAGGCTTGGAAAAAAGCAACAAGAAGAAAAACAAATTCAAGAAGTGGGCGAGGAAAGCAGCTAATGACAAGAACCACCAAGCCTCAGATGAAAACCTGTTTCTGATCAAACAAAGGAAGCGTAGCAGATAGCCGTGTGCGTGAGGGAGAGTGTGAGAGTGCGTGTATGCGGACATGGATGTGTGTCGGTCTCTGTGAATCCGTCTGATGAGGACAGTTGTTAGAATGAGCTCGAGAATTTGGCTCCCTCTGCTGGCCAAAGCCCAAAGTGCAGGCACATTTCCTGCAGCACTGACCTTAAAGGAACAGCTCGAGCATACATGCTAACATTGGATGGACACCAGTGCTCAATTAACTTGATTTGCATACTGCTAAATAATGACTATTCACTTTCATTTTCTTAGCAACATTAGCGACTGTTTTTCTGGAAGAAACAGATGCTAACATGACTAACGAAGCACTGCTGCTAGTACTCATCAGTTAGCATGATCTCCATAATGCTAACTAATGAGTATTCAGTTTAATTCATCGTTAGCAACATTGGTGTTTCCAACGACGATAGCCATCCATTAGCATGATATGCACAATGCTAATAGAGTGCTGTCAGTCACTGTTAGCAACAAAGCGGTTCCTTTAGCTCAGCTTTTTTAAGAACTTTGTGATCATGTTTGCCAGTATTAAGAAAACCCTGACCAGATATGTTGTTAAGCCACTCGGAGGAAAAAAACAGACGGTTAATAAAATACATTTTCTTCGTTTATCCTGACTGAAATTAAATCTGTTGCACAGGAAATAACATCCACAAGGCTTACGTTCCAAAACCACACACTACAGTAAATACACGGACGTGACATATTCTTAATACCTTTTAAATACTAAATCTCCACAGCTTGGTAGCTTCCAGCAAATATGAAGCAAATTTTACGAGTTTGTTTTTGTCGTTCTTTCTCCACTCGCCAAACGAACCGTTGAAGATCAGATTTAAGCAGAGGAATATTTCATTTTTAATCTTGTGCCATTTCACCTTGGAAGGACTATTGGAAAAACTGCATTGCACTGCTGATAAAGATGCTGCTTGTACGTACATTTATAGAACGTTTCTATTTATATTGTGTACATACCTGTGGTTAAGCTGCAGAGGCAAATAAAGGCAGTTTTTTGATGTCCTTTTCTTTGCTGTTTGAGTAACAATACCAACATCTTTTGTATTAAATGTTTGTTTGCTAATGTGACATTTTGTTTTTTGACTTTCTTTAATGTTACTGCAGCTTTGGTTAATATAACCCAATGAAGAAATGAACAAACCAGTTTCAAGCCAAGCTCTATTTCAGGAGGACCACAAAAAAAGCCAATTTTTTTTTCTTGTAGTTGTTTATTGTTGGATTCCACTCTGCATGTTTGACGGCAACCTGCTAATTTTCTGGACAGACAGGCTGGGGCTGGTGCAGACTCAACTGACCAATCAGAGGCCCTGAAGCAGCTGTACTTGTGTCCACTTTGTCTCTTCCGCCATCCTGCTGTTTTCCCTCACTGTCCTCCTGTCTAAATGCTTTCCTCCGTCGCTTTGTTCCCTTTGGCCTAAAGCCTGGTGTGGAGAACGTTAGATATGTCAAGGTTTCTCTCACTGAAGACGCCACAGACGTTGATAACTGCCACCTTTCTGCCAGTTTTTTTTTTTGTTGTTTTGTTTTTGTTTTTTTTGTTTTTGTGTGTTTTTCTGCTTTTAACAGGCTCAAAGCCAGGGTTACACAACACGTTCTCCCCCGATTCACAGTCAGACTGAGTGTGTTTCTCTGCCCTGTTTAGATGTTTTAATATGCCACCAACTTCATCTCACCACTCAGAAGTGTGTCACACCTATATTACAGAAGTGGAGGATTGTTTACCCAGATTAGCCTCAGCAGAGCTTTAACCGGGCCTGATGTTTTGGTCCAAACCCAAATACAGACCTGAGAACTACCTTTCTAAGCCTAGCCCGACTCACAGCGCCAGAGTCTGAACGCAACCCCAGCCCAACAAAATTTTGTCCAAACTCAACCTGAACCACATCTTTTAGTTTTGAGTCCAAAACTGACCCAAACCTGACAAATTTATGTCCAAACCCGAACCTCAGCACTCAGTTTAGAGTCTAAACCCGACCCAAGCCTAGCAGAATTCTGTCCTAACTCAATCCAAACCACATCAAGTTTTGAGTCCGAAACTGTCCCGAGCCTGACGAAATTTTGTCCGAACCCAACCCAAACAACATTTTTAAGTTTTGTCTGAAACTGACCCAAACCTGAGAAATTAATGTCAGAACCCAAGCTTCAACCCTCAGTTTTCAGTCTGAACCCGACCCAAGCCTACAGAATTATGTCCGAACCAGCCAGAATCACATCAAGTTTTGTGTCCACAACTGTCCTGAGCCCAAGACGTTTCCAGACCTGTCCCACAGCACCAAATTTTGAGTCCAAACCCAACCCAAGGCCCAGCAAAATTTTGTCTAAATCCAACCCGAACCATATCTTTAAGATTTGAGTCCAAAGCTGTCCCAAGTCTGACAAATGTTTGGCTAAACCCAACCCACAGCACAAAGTTTAGAGTCCAAACCCCAATAAAATTATTTGTCCAGCCCTCAGTGGCAAGATCTGAGTCTAAACCCGACCCATGCCCAACACAGTTTCGTCCAAACTCGACCCAACAGTGACTCGGTAAAGAGCCCTGATGCTGCTGTTTTCCATTGCTAACAACTAACTGGAACCTGGCTAGACAACCACTCATATTCTGTCTAATTGGTCCCACTCACTGGAAATCAAAACTTGACTGGTTCCACCGTCAGTTCTAATTATGCTGGTGGTAAACTTTAGGCCTGACTTTAGGCTTTCAGTTCATAGAGCTGCTGCTGCTGCTGCTGTTTTCCATTCCTGACAACATTTCAAACCACATCAGATTTTGAGTCCCAAGCCAAGCCCAACTAAATTGTATCCAATCTCAATCAGAATGACATTAAGTTGTGAGTCCCATTTAGAGTCCCCTCTGTTTGTATTGTAGACATAATGACCCATGGTCATCACCACCACTGTAAACAAAATCCAAGTTTCCAGTTAAACCATTTCACATCAAACTACTATTTGATTGCATCTTGATTGAAATGTGCAGAAATGTTCAAAAATTCATCAAATTTCTCTTTAAGAAGTGAAACATTACATTAGATGTCAGTATGTAGTTGTCGGTACGTATCAGTTGGCTTCTGTGATAAGTTTGATTTGAGTCAGCTGGTCTGTTCTTCTACTAAGTTTTACTAAGTGAGGAAACTGGCTGGAGAGCTGTTTACATTTACTGATCATATATCCAAAGACTAGTTGATCTGAGTCTGGCTGTAGCATACTCAGCCTGTCAGTCTGAATCTAGGCTGTGTTAGAATGTGGTTTGTGTGGGAGATGTGTGCTGCGCTGCTTCTGTATGTGCACGGACTCGCAAGCTATTTGTCTTTCCCTTTGAAGGCTCTGTGAACGTTCTCCGCTAGTAAATCTAGCGAGCGCCGTGTTGTAAACCAAATACAGATTTTGTGCCAAGCATTGCAGCACAGCCCTCATGCCAAGAGAAAAATATCATGTCAAAAGTTTGCTTTTTTTTCCCAGAGCATTCTCAGACAGAGTGTCAACTGGAGCGTCTCCTAGAACTTGGCGCTAGAGTCGTTAGACAGAAAGGGGCAGCGAAAACAAGGAGGCCTTACATACTTATGTCTCTTGGTACTTTACGCTGAGTTCTACTCCGTTGAGTCAGAAGGCGCTCGGTTGTAGTTCTTTCTGTGAATCATTCTGATTAGGCCTGAGTCAGTCCAGTGGGATAGTCGGCCTGCATGTTACCGTAAGGCCAAACCACACACATTCCCAAAAACAAGCAATACTGCTTTTACTCCAACATGGAAAACTCTCACTATTCACTGCATTCACCCTTTCTCTGCAGAGGTGGGTCATAAACAGCAGTGGGAACTCTCAGCGCCTTCTAGGCTGAATGATTTCTGTGAAACAAAAATAGATGTGTAATTTTGGAGTTTTTAGTTAATAGAATAATCAAGCTTGTATTTAAACTCATTTCATTAAGTTTTAGTTGAAAACAAAAGGGTTAAATTCTTGATACAGCAGGATGTGGTATCTACAGAGGTACAGCGAAGTGAGCTCTGTCATTGGTTAGGACTTCAGGAGCTGATCTGAAGGCCTAAAGTCAGATTTGCCACCAGCATAATTAAGAACTGGCAGTGGAACCAGTCAAGCTTTGATTTCCAGTGAGTGGTGCCAATTTTGTGAGGAAAAACAAAACATTACTCAATGCCTTTTGGAAATCCTAGCTAAATCACTGACTGAGAGTACGAGTGGGTTGTCTAGCCAGGTTTCAGTTAGTTGTTAGGAATGGAAAACATGTATGTCAGGGCTTTTGAAATTAATAGCAGACTCTCAATGTAGGTATTTGAGCTGTACGCTACAGTTTCTCATCAAGCTGAATGTTATTTCAGCCAGTGTTCTGTTAAGCTTTACCAGCCTGACACCAGTAGCTGTGAAAGAATGCATTTGTGAGTGGAGCATAATGGTTTTGCGAAATACTAGGGGGTCCTGGGGGGTCCACGCCCCCTAATTAATCTCTTGGACCCTTGAATGTCTTAAAATCAAAATTCTGGGGGGTCCCTGAAAGTAAACTTATTGTGAAGGTATGCTGTTCATTAGGGAAAAATAGGCACTCAAATACAAATTCAGGTATAAAGAGAGCAAAATTAATCCTGTTTAAGTGAATTTAGTGAAATATATTGAATTGAAATCAGTTTTCAGTTTTTGATCATTTTTAAAATGTTGCACTACTTTCTTCTTTTTTTTTTGCTCTGTTCCAGTGATGTGTAAGATCTTATATTAATGTGAGGAGAGCGTGTTTCCAAAGCAGATAAGAGCCTTTCCAACATAAGACTTGTTGAACCAAACATTTTTGTGCCATTGAAGCAGAACCAGCACCACTAAAGTGAGTAAGTTAGCAGTTAACCAAATGCTGGCGTAGCCAGCCAACATGGGACCCTCAAACACCAAGGGGTATTTTGCACACTGGCTATAGCCCACACTAATCGTAGCCCAGTTTGAGCCCCATTTGAGCTGCTTTTGGAGATTCTGATCCTGTTGACGTTTGAGAAACAGCCAACTCATCTTCGTTGTCATCATGCCAACATTTGAGGCAAATTGTGTTTGGTGTGGAAGGTGTCGTCGTTTATGTATATATGGCCTGCGGTTTAATCATAATGTCAAAATTGGGAAACACTGAGTTAGCCCCCCTATGGGATTTCTAATAGTATGTTATCACTAAGCTAACATTGCTGCACATAAACATTTTTTGGCCATTCTAGATTAAACACAAACATTTGAAGCTTATTAAAGGTGTTCCATATGTAGTGGTTTTACCCCGACCCTCAGTAAAGAGTCCTGGTATAGAGTTGCTGCTTCTGCTTTCCATTTCAAACTATCTGAAACCCAGTGGTTAGGCTGCCTCTCAGTGACGTATCTGGACTGTTTTCACAAACCTAGTCACACCAATTACAGATATTTATATATTTTTTAAATTCCTGGAGTTCATTACATCTTTTCTGAAGGCCAAGAAGGCCTCAAGGGCTTTCCCACTGCATTTTTGATCAAAAGGTTCCCATCAAGAGAAGAATAAAGCCTAACAAACTTCAGCTCCTTAAAAACATTTTTATAAGTAGTACCTTTTTACTCAAGTTTTTAAAGCAACATTATTTCTTTG